TATGATTGTTCTTTGTTTTTGTGATCATACACGACAATTACTTGGTATTATAACTGTGTTCATATTTCTTGTTGGTTCAGGTAAATTGTTAAAAAGATAAATTTTATTCGTTTAGATAAAAAAAGAAATTTTAACGAATTTTTTTTAATAAATGTTTATAGCTATGGCTTATGGTTCTGGATATGTTGTTAACTTTGGTGATATAGCTCCAGCTTATTCGTCGATTATATTTTCTGTAGCAAGTGCACTTGGAACAGTTGGAGCTCTTATTGGTAATATTATAGCTGGTATTATTATAAAACAACCAATTCTTGAAGATTGGCGAAAACTTCTCTTACTCTTTGCAATAATCTATACTATTGGTGGTACTGTTTATCTATTATATGGGTCAGCAGTACCTCGAAAATGGGCTAGATTTCATTCGGAAGAATCAACACAAAATGAAGAAGATGAATCTTTAACAACATTACCATTACAAACAGATGCATCAAATATCACCAAGAATACTGAAATTAGTTAATCTATAAGTTTTTCTCGATAGATTATTGTCGAAAAACAAATCAATTTACTTTAGTTTCATTTTATATGTAGTATTTTTTAGGCTGTTAAATGTTTTGATAGATATTCAATTATTATTTTCTAGTAAAATTTTATTATTTGTGCACGTTTAGTTGAAGTTAGTAGTAATAAATTTATTATATTTATATGAAAAAAACATTAGAAGAAGACATATACAAATGGTTACGAAACTAGTAGTCGCCGAATTCTCTGAGTTCTGAACTCTTAAAACTCTCTTTGAGTATCCATAGAAAAGATTGTACCGTACATTTGTCTTTCTCGTGGCATTTCCCTTATTCCGAATTTCTTGATGTAAGATATCACTGCAGTTGTTTTAAATTTGTAAGTAAACAATGGGTATTCATGTCAATTTCGTTTGAAACACATGAATTGCTTCAGTTGTTGAAGTTCCTTGAATTCCGCACATTACGTTGCATATTTCAGAGTTTGAGAAGTTCATACTGAATGATAAATATATAAAAGAAAAAAAAAACAACGGTTTATGTTATGTATTTTGATAATGTAGTGTGTGTATTTGTTCATTTGAGTTTAGTATCAGTCGGCTAACATCTTTCATTATTCATTTATTCTTTTCTTTTTGTGTTTGTAATTCTATAGAATAAGTTATTATCTTTAGTGAGATATGTACAATTCAATTTGTACAACAGTTAAATAAACATTTTACTTAACAATATTAGATATTTTTGTTTAGAAATTGCAATCATTGTCACTTTTGCTTGATCTAAATCAAGATCGAATCATACCAGCATATATGTAAGAAAATAAAATAAATCATTTTATCACCCTATTTTGAGTATATCATCCAGTTAATACTTCATCGATTCATGACACATTATGATCCATAAACTTGAGGTAAAAGAACATAATGATCGCACATGAAAAGGAATAGAAAAAAAAAACTTCAAATGATTTATGTTTGCCATGAATCATACAATTATTCTTTTTATTCTATTGTTGAAATATTAGTCATGTTGTTTTTCTAGTTTTACGTGAAACCATGTAGACAATCTCATTGATGTAAGTCATATCCTATCAATCCATTTCAGTTTTGTTTTACTTGTTTCTTTTGCACTTTTTTTCACGCAATATAAGCACAACGAGTTAGTTTATTTATGAGTATTGTTTCTATGAGTAACAAGAATAATATTGATACAACATTCAACATAACTTCATATTCTGCTCAAATCAATAACAGAATAAAAAAATATCAACTAAATATGGGTTTCAATTTCTGAATTTATTGTTCATTATTTCCAGTTAAATTTACTTTGTGATCCATGTGGACTATTTCTTTAGAAAGAAGTACTTTAACATCAATTGGGTTTTGTAGTACAAATGTAGGCACATGTTAGTCAATATTCTTATTTTTTTTTTATATTTATCATTATCAACATCTTTTTTCTTCTTAAAAGCTTCAAAGATGTTAATTGGTGATCTCTTTGTTGTTATGTTAAATGTGGATGGATTTTGTATATTTCTTTTGACAAGTGTTTGGTTTCATATGGTTTCCATTGTGAATATGATTAGTAGATAATTCACCTCACTCTCATAAAACAATAATGGGAACGTATTGAAACTGGTACAGATAACAAATAGAAGCGATCTATTTCATTTGCTTCTTTACCTTGGAAAAAATTTCTTCGTTCGAAACCTATTATTGCATTAGTCATCTCGCAGTTTTGTAATTTATTCGGATTTTTCTTTTTCTATACAAATGTTAGTAAACTATTAACTGAAATTCATTAAGTTCTCGTTCAACAAGTAGGATACGTTTTAGTATGAGAATGTATATTTATGCTTCAACTGGTAAGATAAGCAGAGTTTTCTATTTAATATGAAAAGGTATTGTTGCTGATCATCTTGTTCGAACGAATATAATTTCATTGACTTATGTATGTTCGCAAGTTGTTTCATTCTCTTGCATAATTTATTCCTGCAACAAGTATGACGGTTCTTTGTTTTTGTACTCGAACTCGACAAATACTTAGTATTATAAGTATATTTATTTTTCTTGTTTTTTTAGATAAGTCAAAAGTCTACTTTTCATGGTTAATAATCATGTTTATTGTCAAGATGCCATAAAAAGATATTTATATACAAATCTTATCAAAGTGATGACATTGAAAGAAAATTTTTTATTGAAGCTAAAGCTTCTCTTAGATAAGTTATTGAACTTATTCCAATGAAGTTTTAACGAACAAGAAATGAATACCTTGAAAAGTACCCTCAGAGTGCTACTTCGATTAAATATGCAGCTGAACAATATAAAAAGGTGAGAAAATATCTAAAGAAGATTGAGAATTCTGAAATATTCGAACTTTATATTATTATTTCTGGACTATGATGTTTTGCTCAATTTCGAGTAGAAAAGCTTCGGAGACTGTCGAAGTATGAGAGCATGAATGCGATGTTGATATTCGGTAGAAAGTGAAAAGAAGCTGACTAACGAATTCTGATATCGTATTCCTGTTTTCACGATTCGAGAAACTGGAAGGTTTTTGAAGAAAACTTGTCGTATACTATTCACTTGAAATATATAGCTAGATGATGATCTCATAAATTGTATAATATCAGTTTCAAGGTTACATCAATTTCAAAATTAGTTTGAACATTTTAGCCGATATATGTTCAATAGACAATCATGCAGCTTACACATTGGATACTGATCTGTAATTTGAATGACAATGAAATACAAATAACAGAACTCATGTATTCATATTCTAGCAAATAAATCGTCATGCGTCCTTGATTTTTTTTTTATAGAAAACAATGTCTGTTCTGCAGCTAAATATCTACTCGAAGTAGCATTCTAATGGTGTCATCCAAATATAGAATGCTTGCTCGTTTAACTTAAGCTCATTTCACTCAGAAAACTTGATTTTTGTTAAAAAAAAATTTTTTTTCTAATAAATATATAAATATGTTGTCTAGTGTACAAATTTATAAAAAGAGTTTCAATTCTCAACGATTTTTAGGGGTTTTACGACTGATTTTTAAAACTATCGGAACTAATAATGATGTTTAAATCAATCAGTAAATTATTTTTGTAGAGTTATATAGGCAAAATAAACAAATGTTTTTCAGAGATAATCAAGTCTTACGGATCTTAGAGACATACTTTTGAGATCGCCAATGAATGGAAGATGTGGATCTGGATCTTCCGTTCACTCACACCCGTAAAGTAAGTGTGTTATAAAAAAATAAAATATCACTTTTCTTATGACTTACTAGTATAACATGAGGACTATATATAGAGAAAAAAAAAGCATTTCTTTTGCGTTTTAATCAAGACTGATGTTTTTCGATTATAATCAAGCTGTGAACAAATATTTTCTCATTATACTTCATTCTGGACAGTTGTGGATTTTATTTTAATTGATAGATATATGCATAGTCCTTCGGATGAGGCAAAGGATTTTTCTAATTAATCTTCAGTGCTAAATAAATACTGTATTTTTCAGACTTTTGAAGTCTCGATGATTTGAAAAATGAAACAGAATACAAAATTTAAAAAAAAAAAGCTCTTTTCTTCATTCGCAGCAATAATGAATTCTCTTTCGAATGAAAGCAATCCGAATTCTACAGCTAAGTCTCTAGAAATCTCCTAAACGGTAAGGTGTAGAGACGTAGAATTATTTTTTATTAATGTAATTCAATGAGTTGAACATCTATATAAAGTTTCATCTATATTTCATAAATTCTATCGAAATTATTTTTTCTAAAGGCGGTAGAAATCAATCGAAACAATTTCGATACGGTATGTATATATGAATGTATTCTAGCTATGGCTTATGGCTCTCGTCATATTATCAATTTATTCATCTATTGTTTTTGATATAACAATTATGAATACAAAATTTGATGCTCTTATTTATAATGCGATAGCAGATTTTATTATATAAAAATCAATCCTTGACGATCGATGAAAATTTCTTATACTGTTTTCTATTCATTAGTGGTTTAGCTTATGTTAAACTTGATTCAACAGCATGAACAACATGGATTATATTTACAGCTCAACAAGAATAATAAAGTAAGAATAAAATCATAGAAAAAGAAGTTCTTCCTATTTTTATTTAAAAACTCTGATAGAATTTTCAATTAAAGTGTTTATTTTTTTCTTTCTTATAAAATTTTAAAATAAATAAAATCTTTCACATCAATATCTCTTAAACTTTCTCATAAAGAAATCAAACTCGATCGATTCTAGATGCCGCAAGCTTACAAAACACACTAAAACATTCTATGTGTGAGGCATTCATAATAAATCAATGGTTAATAATGCATACATTTGTTCATGATATCCAATATTTACCTCTTCGTTGTGATGTTACTAATAATGTCACATAATTCTTCTTCTTTCTTTTGTTTTTTGCTTCTACTCATCTATAGATTTAATTTTATTCCAATATTAAAAAAAAATGGCTTCAGGAGATGTTGCATCAGATGAAAGTCTTTATCCAATAGCTGTTTTAATTGATGAACTTCGTAATGAAGATGTTCAAGTAAATAATATTTATTCTTTCATGACAAGACTTACGTACATGTGTATATTTTTAGTTACGTTTAAATAGCATAAAAAAACTATCCACTATTGCATTGGCACTAGGTGTTGAAAGAACTCGATCTGAGCTTATTCCATTTTTGACTGGTTTGTTTTTGGTTTTTTCAAATAATAATTAAATGATTATATATTCTTTCTTTTTCTAGATACAATTTATGATGAGGATGAAGTTCTATTAGCATTAGCTGAACAATTAGGAACATTTACACAACTTGTTGGTGGTGAAACTTACGTTCATGTTTTATTGGTATATAAGATTCGAAAAGACAAAACGTTTTCTCTTTTTTTTTAATAGTTTTTTTTAAATTTTCTTTAGCCACCATTAGAAAGTTTAGCTCAAGTTGAAGAAACAATTGTACGTGATAAAGCTGTTGAATCACTTCGTATATTAGCACCACAACATTCAACAACAGATTTAGAAACATATTTTGTACCAACTGTTAAACGTTTAGCACAAGGTGATTGGTTTACATCACGTACATCAGCATCAGGTCTTATATCTGTTTGTTATGCACGTGTTTCAAATCATGTTAAAGGCGAATTACGACAGTAAAACATTTGTTTTTTATTTTTATTCATTTGAAAATTTTCTCTTTTTTTTAANTGTTTTGCATTTTTTTTTTCTAAAATCAATTTTTGCACAACAAAAACAATTAAATTTTCTTCCAGACGCTTTGACCGATTGAACTGAAACTTTTGGTATGCAACTAGGATCAAACCAGAGTATATATTTTTTTTTGTTCTCAAAATAATGTTCTGGAGATTTTTTGCAGACCTTGAAAAATTTGCCTTAGACAAAACAATACATTTTCTTTTATAGAACTTTCAATTTTTTGTTTTTCCTAAATGAAGGAAACAATATTTTTTAAAGAAACGCAAAGTATACACACCAATTTGGTCGTAGTTGTTACGAAAAATAATTCAGTCATAAAAAATAAATTTTGTTTGTTTGTGGGTAGAAGTAGGGAGCTTCAAGTCATTTCTGGCGCTTGCATCCCGTATACCCATAGATGGAGGTATTCAAGAACATGAAGTCTATGACAATTTTTTCTCTACTAGGTCGAGACCTATCTATCTTGAAAATTTCAGAATTATTGGGTGAGTTCGTTATTGAGAAACTCGAAAAATATGGGGAAGAGGTGGTAACCTTAACTGTACGTTCAACATATTTTATTATTTGACTCGAATGTTCCTGAAAAATGGACGATATTTAAATCTGAAGAACAAGAATAAAGATTGATGTGAAATCTTAGAAAGAAATATTTTCAATGGAAGAAACAGATGAATCTAAAGCGATTGAAAATACTAAAACTATAACAATTTTGTTTTATCGATTTTTAGAAAATATTTTAGCTTTAGATGGTTAGAACTACAGTATCAAAATATCATAAGAAAAATTTAATAATGTGCTAGTGAGATATACTAATTTATTTCAGCATAATTCAATATTGCGAATTTTATAGCGGGTTAAATAAAAGAATATATATTGAATAAGTTTTACGATGCATTACTTTCTTATTTCGATAAATTATTATAAGAGCTAATATTACCGTTTCTTGATAATTCGAAAATAATAATGAATACCATCGAATATACATACAATCTCAACACAGCTGCATCGTGTCAGATGGCACTTGAATTAACCGTCAGTTATTTCATCGAACGCATTAGCATATATTTTAATCGAAAACTAACTGATTCTAAACATTACATTTACCTTCCGAAATCGAAAGATGCCGTAAGATTACGATATAGTGAGGCAATAGTAATATCTTAATGGTTTTCTCTACATTGTATTATAAACTTAATATTCATTTCTTCTTCGTTGTGATGTTACCATCGTTCTGATCTAATTATACTTTGTATATTTTTCTATTACTAATCTTTAGATATAAATTTTTATCACAAGAAAAATGGCTTCTGGAGATGTTCAATCTGATGAAAGTCTTTATCCAATTGCTGTTTTAATAGACGAACTACGCAATGAAGACGTTCAAGTAAATTTTTCATTGTTGTTATTTCAAAAAAAAAATTATTTTGTATTACTTTTATATTTATTAGTTACGTTTAAATAGTATAAAAAAATTATCTACCATTGCATTAGCACTTGGTGTTGAACGTACACGATCTGAACTTATACCATTTCTAACTGGTTATTTTCTTTTTTTTTTTTTTTTAAATAATAACCGAAATCTTGTTTTGTTTTCCTCTAGACACTATTTATGATGAAGATGAAGTACTTTTGGCATTAGCTGAACAATTAGGCACATTTACACAACTTGTTGGTGGTGAAAGTTATGTTCATGTTTTATTGGTATGAAAAATAAAATTAATTTATTATATTTCTTTTTTTTTTTTTTATAAATATTATCTTTTTTTTTAGCCTCCATTGGAAAGTTTGGCTCAGGTTGAAGAAACAATTGTACGTGATAAAGCTGTTGAATCATTACGTACATTAGCACCACAACATTCAACAACAGATTTAGAAACATATTTTGTACCAACTGTTAAACGTTTAGCACAAGGTGATTGGTTTACATCACGTACATCAGCATCAGGTCTTATATCTGTTTGTTATGCACGTGTTTCAAATCATGTTAAAGGCGAATTACGACAGTAAAACATTTGTTTTTTATTTTTATTCATTTGAAAATTTTCTCTTTTTTTTAAAGATTATTTAAAAGTCTTTGTCAAGATGACACACCAATGGTACGTCGTGCAGCAGCATCTAAATTAGGTGAATATGCTAAAGTTGTCGAACCAGAATATTTACGTCAAGAACTTCTTTCATTATTTACAAATTTGGCAAATGATGAACAAGATAGTGTACGCTTATTAGCTGTTGAAGCTGGTATATCAATGGCAAATTTATTTCGACATGAAGATCTTGAACAACAAGTAATGCAAACATTACGTGCTGCTACAGAAGATAAATCATGGCGTGTACGATATGTTGTTGCTGATAAACTTGTTGAAGTAAAGAAAAAAAAAACTTATTATTATTATTATTATTATTTATTCTTAATGGAATAAAACTAAATATGAATTGATCTTTAATATTTAGTTACAAAAAGCAGTTGGTCCTGAAATAACAAAAAATGATTTAGTTACAGCTTATTGTTCATTATTAAAAGATCCTGAAGCTGAAGTACGTGCTGCAGCTGCATCAAAATTAAAAGATTTTTCTAATAATTTATCAGTCGATACACGTGAACAAATAATTATGTCACAAATTTTACCTTGTGTTAAAGATATGGTTGGAGATATGAATCAACATGTTAAATCAGCATTAGCTTCAGTCATAATGGGTCTTTCACCATTACTTGGCAAAGATAAGTATGTTTTTCATATCTTAAATTATGTCAATTCGAAAAAAAAACAAACAAACAATAATATTCGTTTTGTTTAGTACACTTGAACATCTTTTACCATTATTTCTTAGTCAACTTAAAGATGATTATCCAGAAGTTCGACTTAATATTATTTCAAATCTTGATTGTATAAATGAGGTATATGGGTTTTTTTTTCGTGAAATAATTTATAAGATGGAACTAATTCGAAATTTGAGAAGAAGTTTTAAAAAGCTGTTAGAAAACAGCTCAGTTTTCGAAAAGACATGAACAATCTTTTTTCTGATTCAGCATGCAGAACGAACTATAAAAACTCAACATTGACACTGTGCGAATATAACATAACTGAAATAGAACCCGTACACAAATTGCTTTGGGGATCTTACAAACCTATCTTGCTATTTTTGATAAGTAAGGTTTCAAGTCAAGATCATGTTTGGAATCAGCATACTAAAGAAAGTCAACTTATGTGAGTTCTAAATATTTTCATGAACTTTTTTTCCTCGAAATATTCATCCGTAGGTCGTTTAGAGATAACTTAAAAAATTATTTCAACAATTGGAATCAAGTTTTAAGTTTGTAAAATGCCAGTCAAAAAAAGCATAAGATCATTTCTCAAAAATAGTATACTTAGAATTTTTCTCAGTGGCTAATGTTTTTTTCCTCGATATTTGTAAACCATTGTCTAGAGCTATCAAACTACTTGAAAACTGCATAATCAATCATCTAATTGATAAATAGAAAAGTTGATTACCATCAATAGATGAGTTCAGTGTACATCTGACAATTATTGAATGCTTCAATTGGGCTAGGTACAATACAAACAAGTGTTATAGTGCTAATTCCAGCAAAAAACCTTTCTGGATACTTTGTGTGAGAGTTTGAGATAGAAAAAAAAAATTTCTCAAGGGGTCAATTCCATTAGTTATCGACTCTCTTCCGTTTTTAGAAGCCTAATTTATTCATACTTTTGTTACTCGTTTCAGAACGGTTCGAATGATATATAACACTTAACTTGAAACTTTACCAAAAAACAATTAGATAGGTTTGCAAGATATTGAAAGTGACCTGTACGCGAATTCTATTTCGGTAATTTGATATTGGAATAGTATGAAAGTTGAGTTTTTATACTTAGTTTTGCTCAAATTTTGAATTAGTTGGATATTAAAAAGGACAATCTTTGATTGAATTAATTAGGTTATTGGAGTTCGTCAATTATCACAAAGTCTTCTACCAGCTATAGTTGAATTAGCAAGTGATGCTAAATGGCGTGTACGTCTTGGTATCATTGAATATATGCCATTATTAGCCGGTCAACTTGTATGTTATTTTTTAGATTTTTTTGTTCATTATATTAAGAAATTCTTCTTATCTCTAGGGTCCAGAATTTTTTGATGAAAAATTAAGTAGTCTTTGTATGAGTTGGCTTACAGATCATGTCTTTGCAATACGTGAAGCAGCTACAAATAATCTAAAAAAATTAGTCGACAAATTTGGGCGTGATTGGGCGCAAGGTACAGTTATACCAAAAGTTATACAATTAGCACGTGATCAAAATTATTTATATAGAATGACATGTTTATTTGCTATTAATGTATGAACATTGAAAACAAAAAGGATCATTTTTGTTATTATTTTTAATTTTATTTTATTTAGGCTTTGGCTGAACCATGTGGTCAAGATATAACACAACGAATGATGTTACCAACTGTACTAACACTTGCCAGTGATCCTGTTGCTAATGTTCGATTTAATGTTGCGAAAACATTACAACGCATTTATCCAGTACTTGATCCAAAGTAGTTATCAATAGAAAATAATAATTTTAGTTTAAATCTTTACCATTTGGCATTTATCGAGTAGAATTAGTATTGAGTGCAAACATCGAAATAGCTTATATACATGCTAATTAAGACATTGGTATAGCTAAATTTCGGAGATGAAGAATGAGCCGTTCGTTTTGAATGACATAAAAGTTAAACTTATTAATTTGATTTTTTTTGCGGTTTTTCGGTGCTATGTTGTCATTTTAGACTTATTGTGGATTCTTTTTTGAATTTTCTATTGTTGAAGTCTTGTCCATAAGAAGGACTATAACAGAAATTACAGGTTTTTATCTTTAATCGATAAAAAGTTCTAATAAAATTTTAAGTATAGAGATTATGATATTTTGTGTATCTGAATAAAAAAACACAGTAGCTGTAGAAAAACCATTTTTTCTATTACTGACTATGAATGAGCCAAAAAAAATGACTCAAGTTTTCATGAAAAATAGTTTCTTTTACATCTGTAATCCAGAGTTTTTTCAAAAAAAACATCAGTCTATATAAGTAGACAGAAGAAAACAGAAAGAACAGATTTTATGAAATACGATTTAATAGAACTGTTGACGTGTACTGGGTACAAATTTACGCCCTCCACAAACGATGACAGACATTATCATGAAAACAGCACAGACTATAATAGAAGCTGTTGATATACGATCAAAGATCGTATATTAATAACATCTCGTTGTAAACTATGAACTACTTCTTTACTGCATTGGTGGAAGGTTAAATAAAAGTAGGGCGAAGAAATGTCTTCCAAAAGAAGATAGAATAAAACGATCTTCTTGTGACTAGCAATAGCAGCTAGATCGTGTATCACGTTTTAATCCCATAGGGATTGTGCCAATAGGTTGTGTATACTGTTTGAAGACTCTAACAGAAAATAAATGGTTAATATATATATATATTTAAATTTTTTAGTGCATTAGCTATACAAGTTAAACCATGTTTGGAAAAATTAAGTCAAGATTCTGATCATGATGTTCAACATTTTGCCAATGAAGCTCTTGAAAGTATGTTTAAATAATTGGTTTTTCTCTTTCTAAATAATTATTGTCCTCTGTTTTACTAAGAGATACCATCTATTCGTAGCAGTTATCGTTAATAGACAGAAAAAAAACTAAAAGGTTCCCTAAATGATACTTCATATTAAAAAAAAAATAAAAGAATAAACTAAAATCTTTTTTTGCTTAAACGTCTTTGATCATCTTGATATTAATAACGAATATAACCTTGCTTATTCTTATTCATTTTTGTCTAGAAGTTATTGAAGCTTTATGAAATAAAAATTTCATTATATCTTGGTTTGTTAATTTCTTTTTGTTTATATATATATATATATATATGCGTGTGTGTAAAAGTTTTTCTAGTTGTTTTTATTTTGAGTGTGTATCTTTCATTTTTGTTTCTTGAATTATTATAGAAATATTAGAAGCACCTTTTTCTTCTAATAATTGTGAAAACGAACATAAAGAAGATATTACACGGGTGCTGGTTTGTCTTTGTTTTTATTTTTATTTTTGCTTATCTAGGGGTGTTGAGATAACAACTAACCTGATTTTAATATCTATTATTTTGTAATAATATAATTTACTAATATTTCATTTTTGTTTAGTTTTGACCAAGATTTAATTGATCAATCATCGGGACATATTCTTGTTCTTATTTTTTCTTTTTTGTAACTCACGTTTTTCTTTTTGGTCTTATCTTTTTGCCCACAATGTTGTCATTTTCACATATTCTTTTGTTTGGCGTTATTCATCCTTTCTATGGGTTTTCTGTAAGAAGACTTTCATATTGACTTTAATTTTTTTTCCTTTCATAACACAAAAGAAAGCTTAATAAAATACTGTACTGTTTTTTTTCTGGTCTGATTAAACAACGCGTTAATTATAAAATGAATGCAAAACAAAACTTGTAATTGTAATTCTTATTGAAAGAGTTAATTTTTCTCAAGAACGATAAATGATTATAAAAAAACTGTGTGCTGTTATTCTTTGTATTTCTTCAGATGTCATCAAATTCTGTTGCATTAGATGAATTATCTGAATTTCTCGATCCACAAGGTCGTCTTGATATTAAATCACTTGCACTTCAGACATTACTATCATTAACTGCATCTAAAGAAGGTCGTCATTTATTATTATTACTACCTAATACTGACCCTCATAAATCATTATTATCACGTGTTTGTCGTCTGATATTTGAAGATGTTCAAGAATCGATTCGTTTTGATGCACTTCTTTTTTTGATTAATTTAACAGCTGATAATGAATTATCAATATTAAATCATCAACAAACGTCAATTACGAATGACTTTTGGGTACAATTATTGAAAGTACGAATTCAAGAAAAAAAATCACAAATCTATGGTGAAGACAAAGATAAAGTTTAGAAATGAAGTACTTTTTGACTTCCTTTCTTAACGGTAACAGCTAGAACCAATCAGAGAAAATATTTGAGTATCTGAACAATTTTCTTTCAGGAGAGATACTTGTTAAGTTCCAATTAACAGGTTCAGATGAAGGGACTCTGGAAAATTAAGATCTTCTAAAAGAAATATTGGAATTCCGTGAATTTTAGCTTATGGAGTTCTCAAAAATACAAATTCAATTCCGGAATATAAGTAAATTCAATAATAGAGGCAACCCTAAGAACTCAAGAATTTATTGAAATTTAGATAACAGATCAACTCTAACGGTTCAAACGAAATTAACATCATCATAACATTTTGATTGACCACAAATTTTTAACAACTACAATGGTGTCTTACATCCATAAATGCCATGATATATGCCCAATATATACGATACAATCTTTTTTCGTGAATATTCAAATATGAGTGTGGCTGTGGATGTAGAGAGAACCAAAACCCAGACTCTTCTGGGAACTCTTAAAGGATCAAGAGTGAAATTGTAATTTTGATAGTTCCAGAAGGTCAGAACTCATGAAATCAAGCCACTGTTGTTCCAAAAGTAGTTTTCTGAAATCTATCTGAAACGCCTTGCAAACATGTTCGTCCGATAGAGAAAACACTTTTGAACAGAATAAGAAATATTCAGCGAACGATAAGCATTATGCAATAGGCCTCGAAAGTTGTTTTCTGTTGTGATTATGAAAATTTGTGTGAATTTACTGTGCTTCACACTGTAGTCTTTTGTAGAATGAGTGCCGTTCGCTGAAGATATGTTATCTTGAACTCGGAAACATCTTATTTTGTTCAATAACTTGTTCTCTATTATATGAAGTTATTTGCAAAACGTTCTTGATAGAATATAAAAACTGTTTTTTGGAGGTCTTGGTTTTCTAGAGTCTTCATTCATATAAATTTTGTTAATTGGAATTTGACAAGTACTTCTTTTGATAGGACATTATTTCAGCTACTTGAATCTTTTCTTTGACTGGTTCCAGCTGTCACCATTAAGACAAAAGGGTCAAAAATACTTCATTTCTCAACTTTTTTTAACCTACACTTAATACTAGAAAGAAAAATAATTCTATATTTAGCGTTGTATTGATGATCGTCAATATGAACATGCTGATGCTGGATGTAAACTTTTATCTAATATAACATCTCGTACAATAACAATTGATCAAATAAATGAATTAATAAATCATTTAGATAAAAATTATCCATTATGGTTTAATAATCTAATTGAAGCTTTTTCTACAATTGATTATAATCTTAAAAAAAATAATCTAGATTATTTATCAGCATTTCTTGTTAATTTAACACAATCAAAACTAATTCGACAACGTTTACGGGATAATGGACATTTAAAACGTTTATTATGTTTTACAGATCAAAATCATTCAATTATACGGCGTGGAAGTGTTGCATGTATACTTAAAAATTGTTGTTTTGATCATGGTTTGTTATATTAAAATTTTATATGATTAATTATTGATTTGGGTTTTTTTATTAGAAAGTCATGAACAATTAATTTACAATATGGGTAATGATGATGATTTTATATGTTCATTACTGTTACCACTTAGTGGTTCAACAGCTGATGAATTAACTGAAAAAGAAAATGAACAATTACCAATTGATTTACAATATTTACCGAGTAATAAACAACGTGAAACAGATCGAGATATTCAACAAATTCTTCTTGAAACAATTCTTCTTGTATGTTTAAATAAAATATGTTTTTCTTTTAAAAATATCTATTTTTCTAAATATAGTTATGTGCAACAAAATCTATTCGTGAATATTTTCGTTCAAAACAAATTTATCTTATTTTACGACAATATCATCTACAAACAAATTTAGATTTTGCTTGTAATCGTACATGTGAACGAATTATTCAAATATTAATTGGTGACGAAGATTATAATGTTGAAACACATAATCTACTTGAATTAAATATTCCTGAAGATTTAAGAGAAAAATTTCATGAGAGTGATCGAAAAGAAGAAGACGAAAATCGTGTCAATCAATGAATAAATATTTCAAATATTTTAATTTTATTAAAAGAAAAGATAAATATAAATTCATTGAAGTCATAAAAGTTTCAACTGTTTATTTAATAAAAAAACACAATCTGATGTTAATACAAAAAAAAAAAAACTTTGAATCATAGAAACTTCAGATTACTGCGCAGTACTTTTCTAATGATTAATTATTTCTCAATAACCTGAGATGATAGCTACTGCTACGAAACTAATGCTGTTAGAATATATGTATGTGGTAGACCAATCTCAGATTAGCCTAGTTTAGATCAGGCCAATCCGAAATTAGCCTAGACATATACACAGTGACTCCCAAAATTATTGATTTAGGTTTATTTTTAATGTTTCAGCTACCGTAAGTGTTAGAAAGAATCCAAATAGAGAAAATTCTTTCCAACAAGAATATAAGGAAATCAAAATTATTGACAGATTCACAAAGATAGGCTTTCCAGAAAACCGAAATCCTCGTTTTTCAGCACCTAGAACACATAAATATAATTTTATTTAGAGTACATTAGAACTCATCACGTTGACTTCGGGTTTAGGTCCGGTCCACGTCCAAAAGAAATTTGAACCCAATGGGCTCTAAGCTATGTAGAACGATAGAGTAAACCATCCGCTACTAAATGAGCCATCACCAAGTACACTGTGACGTTTTTTAGCTGAGATACAGCAATTTGATTGAAGGTCAAAAAACAGTTTTTCTACAGGAAATTGGGAAACACCACTTTTAGGGGTTTCCGTAAGATTCCTGCATCTCAGCTAAAAAGTTGGTCAGAAAATTCGGCGATGTTTCATTTTTTTAGAGAATCGTTTGCTCTAATACTTGTGTTGATATTATTGGACTCGCTGGCAATGTTGTTCTTTCAGCGATTTGAAATCATTATGCAGCAGTGCAAGATATGACCGGCATTTATTAAACAATTATTATTTAAAACGACATAGACAAACATAACTTATCAATGTAATCGATAGAAATTTCTTAATCCATCTCTAATTCACACTCAAATGAAGGAAAATTCTATTGGCGAAATTCCGGAAGCCCATAACACTAATCTCGCTTTCCGTAAAATACGGTGTGTCAGAGAAACCGTAATTTGTATTTATTATTAAATAAGAATAGTGTTTTGACTTCTAATCATGCAAGACGTTATGATACATTTATAATGAATCATGCATATATGTATCCTAAGCGCTCTCTCTCACTCTCATAAATGATTATGAGACGCGCGAATCAACACATTGTGTCAGTCTCAGTTGCACAATTAAATGTCACAAGCTACTGTATCACAAGTAGTACCACCAATGAAAGGTGATATTGTTCTTACATGTAAAGGTCATCGTCGTCTATGGGATGGACGTCATTGGCGTGTACTTTGTCGAATCTCTGATTGTACAGCTCAACGACAGGGTTCATTATATAATAAATTTGGTCTATGTAAAAAACATTTTACTCAAATGAAATTTGATAAATTTCAATCTCATAAACCTTTATCATATGAATCATCATTTTTCTCTTCAAATATCAAACAGAAAGAACAAAAGCAAATAGTTTCTGTAGAAAAACAAGATGAAAACAACAAAAAGCATAAATGTCATAATTTAAACATTATTGTTGATAAACTTCGACGTTCACAAACAATACCTAAAACATGTTCGATTAAATAATTAGATTTTATATATTTTAATAAATAGATATAAAATTAAATTAAAACTCATTTGAAATAAATTTTCTAATTAACTATTTCATTATCCATTAGCGAGAATTCATAAGAATATACATCTTTTTCTTTTAATGAATATTTTATTTTATGTGAAAATAATCTTATTTTTTTTTATTAAAAAGTTCACATGAATTACAAAAGATCAATATGTTCTCAACCTTGATAAGAGTACAAAAATAAAAAAAATTCGTAAGTTTTCATTCAACAATTGATCATGAAAGCAAATAATTTCTTCTTGATTATTATACAATGATTCTACAGTTTAAAAAAGTCCTATAATAAAATCTTATATATATTCAAAAATCTTTTCTCAAATACATAAGATAAAAAAAATTATTTTTTCTATTGAAAATGCAAAATTATAAATAATGAGTTAAAAAATCTAACTAATATTAGTCGTTGCTAGTCTATATCATGCATTAATATTTTATCATTTACAAAAATGACTCATGTAACTAACGAACTATCAAGCGACACCAATGAATAATGACAACGTTTGAATGAATCAGCCTCTTTCAACACATATTGTATTACGATTCTCTTTTACTTTGTTTGATTCTTTCACAATCACATTGAAATAAATGTAAAAGCCTTTATATACTATAAAGGGAGATGATTTTTTTCACACAAACTACATTTTATACTTTATCGTTTAATTGGACTTTATAATAATTATGCCCGAAAAAATTGAAATGACAATTAATGAACAACACAAAAAATCTGCATATGTAGGTGCGCTACCAGATATACCAATGGAAGCTCTTCTTTCACTTGGTCCACCAAATAATTGTGGTACTGCACCGACAATTCGACTCTTTCTTGCTAAATATCGTGCATTTCCATGCGTACTATATTGTACTGCTGATGATACAAGTGCATTATTACATGCAACAACAATTGTTGATTATATTCGAGATGAATTAAAACATGATTTAAATACCGATCGTATATCTCGAAATTATAATCGACAAACTAAAGAAATCTATGTTGATTCACGTTTGTCAGATTTAGGTAATGGTATTATGATTGAATTAACTGATTGTTACTTTAGTTCTGATGTACAAAATCCAAATAAATTAAAATCAGATCATTCAGATGATTATTTTTTAATCGCATCACAAGTAAACCTTTATTATTTACCTGAACATGATACATTTGTACAAGATCTAGCAAGACAGTTTGCTAAAATGACTGTATTTTCATCAAAATCATGTACTTTACAAATGGTTTGTCGTAATCAACATGGCTATTATCTTAGTAGTATTAATATTAAAAAACCATTGATTACTGACCTTGCTCTTCATTATGGTAAAACGTTTGTTTCAGTACATGAAAAAATCAATAAAAATTTAAATAAAAAAGAAGGAAAAGGTATTGTTCTTTTACATGGTGTTCCAGGTTCAGGTAAATAAAAATTTTGAAATAAAAATAAAAAACATGAGATTTTCTTTTTTCCTTCTTTGTTATATAGGAAAAACACATTATATTCGATATTTAATTCATGAAATTGAAGAAAAAACCTTAATTTATGTACCACCAGATATGGCAAAAGAAATTTCTTCACCAGAATTTCTTCCATTTCTTATGCAATATCAAGATTCAATTCTTATTATTGAAGATGCTGAAAATATAATTAAAGATCGAAATGAATGTTTAATACCATCACAAGCTGTTGCTAATCTTCTTAATTTGTAAGTTATTATCACTTGAAAAAAAAACATTCGAAATTGAATCTTCTCTTTTTGTTTTCCTTTAAGATCTGATGGTTTATTAGGTGATGCTATGCATCAACAAATAATTGCAACATTTAATTGTGATTTAACAACAATTGATCCAGCTTTATTACGTAAAGGACGTTTAATTGCAAATTATGAATTTAATAAATTAGACATAGAAAGTTCAAAAATTCTTTCAGATAAGTTAGGACTTGATACTAAGAAAATAATTGCACCAATGACACTTGCTGAAATTTATAATCAAGGTGAAAATGATGAGGGATCAATTGTAAATGGAAATGAACCAAATACGAATGAACAAAAATGAATAAGCAATTCATCATTAAAATTTTGTTGTTGTTTTAATATAAATAAATAATATATAAAAATAATAAAAAAAAGCTTTTATTGGTGATAAATCAGTTTTTTGCTCTCTGTCTTAGTTGATATATTTTCCATGCAAATTGTATTTTCTTTCTCTTAATGGCAAACTATCAGTTCGTCAGTGTGGATATAAGCAGCCAAAATAATAAAAAAAATAGGCCGCAGCCATAAAAAGATCAAAGAAGAACAGAAAAAAAGTGACGAGGATAATAAGGCATGCTTGTGTTTTGCGCTCTTGTGACATGTAGTAGGTAATGCTAGCATGTGAAAAGCACAAAATAAAGCATTTGGTAGTGGATGTATAAGACGTCGTGTGTGTTGTTAGTAATAGAAAAGAGAGAATAACAACCACAAAAACAACAACAACGATAGCATAAGAGAAAAAAAATCTACGGATTCTCGCTTCTCGGAGTTGTAGTGTAAGAGAGTGGAAGGAAGCTGATCTAGAAGAACCATTTACAAATCATCTTCGTGTAGAACGGTTACGATATATATATACATATATATCAAGGTCGAAACTCGTCCACTTGTATCATAAACGGCAAGCAAAAAAAAATAAAAAGAACATAAGTCAATTTGAACAAAAGGTATATACTTGAAAATAACTATTGAATTATGTTAGAGAAAAAGCAATTGCGCGTCAATCAAACAGACATATGCACGTAAAACATGTGTCAGGACGGTAAGCAGTCAGTCAAAAGTCTCGTTTCTTTTTTTTTCTTATGGTACAATTGAAAACTAAAACTAAAATCAAAATGTATTTGACTTCTATTCTTTATTTTTCTGCTCTTGTATCATGGTAAAATGTCAGGAAGATTCTTTCGGTAAGAAAAACAACGATAAGTGCTTATCTTTTAAGAATTCTAAGATATCGTCTTGTTTAGTTTTTTTCTTCGTCTAAAAAAAAAGAAAATAACCATATTATCAAATTGATCATAAAAAGCGATTAATGGTTTACCTACTCTAAGGTATCATGTTTTTTTTGTGTGCACGGTCAGGTCATCGTTTCTTTTGGCGCATTGAATTTAAACCTTGTATTAATTTGTACATATGCCTGTAAAATCATTTTATCAATGAACTTGATCGGACAGTACTATGCGCATTTCTGTGACCATGAATTGTGTTTTTTTTTCTTTTCTTTTTTTTTTATTGAGTTACTCCCTATTTCATTCATTCAAGGTTAAGGTTACGTACAATCTTCATTTTTTTCTCTTATGTTATCTATATCTATCTATCTCTCTATATATAAAGACAAATCGCTGTCGTTAACGTTTTCATAATTTAGTACCAATTGGAACATATAAAGCAATAAGAATGCCGTCATATACGATGCTCAATGTTAAAATGCAACGAGAATCAAATAGTACACCATGGGGATTTCGAATGCAAGGTAGAGATGTCTTTCTTTTTTATTTTATGAAGATAATAACAAAAAATTATATTAAATGTTTAATATGAATAGGTGGAAAAGATTTTGGTTGTCCATTACAAATTCAAAAAGTAAATCCAAATAGTTTAGCTGAACGTTGTGGTATGCAAGCTAATGATTATATTATTAAAATTGGACAAATATCAACTGAACATCTTAAACATCCAGATGCTCAAGAATTAATACAACAACAAAATAATATGCTTGAATTAACATTACAACGGTCTGTTGAGAAGAAAAAAAGAAAAGAAATGATGTTCATTTTTAATTTAATATATAGAGGCGCACCACCTGATGCTAATGATTATAACAGTCGTGTGAATTTTCCACCTCATCAGTTGATGCAATCTACACAAAATAATTTTGCACCTCAATCTGACTATGAAACTCCACCACCACAATCTCCTGTTCCGCAGGTATTTACAAGAATAATAAGCAAAGTTTGCTGTTAGTTACTGATAAATAATGACGACTTTATCTGATATTCAATAGAATCGAATGAATACTAAGATTCAGGTTTGTTAGATATTTCAAGTTATAGAACATACCGAACAAAATTCCAAAAGACATTGAATGAGCAGTATAACTAAAAGAGAAATCTATCCGATAATCAGTAGATAAAAAAGGACAGTAGATAGAAGGATTATATTTGTTCTATTATTGCAGACAATATTTCTCTTAGAGATAATAAAAACGTGATATGTTATGTCTATTACCATATTTATACATAATTTTATATTCTTATCAAAAATGACAACTAGATTTAATTTGTTGACCAATCTGTGTCCATCATCTGTTGTAGCGGATAAATCAGTTATAATCTTATGTCATAAAACAACCAAAAAATCATATCTCACAAAAGAAGCGGGACAATAAAATAAATCATTGACCTAGTTATAAAATGACCTAATCTACTAAAATAGATGTCATGAAGTTTTATTCAGATTTTCTCTTCCGAAAAAGTGAACATCTATTTTTGAGAGTACACACATATAATACGTGGTACACAATAACATTGAATCTGAACCTGGTTAACAGAAAAATGTCTCTACTATCAGCTGTCCCACTAGATAAAACACTGATTTTTATCAAGTTATTTTCAATAATAGGTTGCTATGCCAGTATCAAACAATCGAGCTATATTAAGTCAAGCACATAATACACCAATTGGACTCTATTCAGCTGACAATGTAACTGAAACAATAACACGTACTCTTAAAAGGTAATGTCTAGAAAACCTAGATCGATGCATGAAAATTCGGCATGTATATTAGTATGCATGTGGGTGTAGTTCCCCTTCTCCTTCACGTCATATTAACAATACCAATAACCGTGATGATCAAAAACCACCTGTCATACTCACAAATAGTGATATCGAAGATCTTCAACAAAAATATTTAACTATGGATTTGCAAACGAATAATAAAAGTGAAGTACGACAAGGACCTGCATTTCGAGCACTTGTTCGAGGACTTGATGTAGCAAATGGTAAGAATTGTTTGTTTTTTCGATTATTCTTATTTCTTACATGTTAATCGTTCTAAGACACTACTGATCGTTCAACAGTGAAATCAAAGTAAAAAGAAAAAAAGAAAAGAAAGAAGTGATATTTATTTTCTTATTTAACAGCTCAACTAATAAACAGGTTACTACATCAACAATCAAAGGTTTTCGATATACACCTAATCCGTAAGTGAGAAATAAATTTTCTTTTTAAATTCATAGACAATAAAAGCTTTCTTTTAGTATTTTTTTCTCAAAATCTTATTTTATAGAATAAAAGAGAATGAATGTTAAAAAAGGACGTTGAAAAGAAAAGAAAAGAAAAGAACTTTATTTTGTTGATTTTCTTTTGTTTTTTTTTGGGTTATGAATACACATACAGATATAATAATCAGGCATGCGAATGATCATTGTCTATATGCTTATGCATTTCTTTCATATTTCATTTAATAAATTTTATATTTCATATTTTTCCATTTATCTATAGTATGAATATTGCACCTGAATATCAAATTGAAGAACCAAAAAAGTAAATAAATATTACTTTTTTAGCTTAATATATTATATTAATATGACATCGTGTTTTAAGTTATAATGAATTTAAAGCAGCAGCATCTCGATCTATGCCAATGCCGGCACCTGCATCAGCACCTTATGATTATTCGCAACATCAACCACGGGCAGCTCCATATATAGCATCAGCACCTCCACCACCACCACCTCCACCTGCACAATCAAAACCTAATGGTAATCTTTGAATTTATTTTAAAAAAAAAAGAGGACAATAAAGAAAAAAATTTTCATCGGATTACAATATTCACATTATCTTTACTTTCTAGCTCCTAATAAACCATCATTTAACGTTAATATACAAGCAACACCTCGTTCAGGAAATCGTGTATTTATGAAAGGTAGTAAAGGTAGTGCATCGTTAAATCGAAATGAAAATACCAATCAAACACCTAAATGTTATTCATGTGGTATAGCCATAAGGTATATATTTTTTTTTCAAATAATTATCTAAATTTAATATGTATAAATGTTGTTAAATAGAGGTCCATATATCTCAGCTATTGGTCGTTGTTATTGCGTAGATCACTTTACATGTTCAAACTGTTCAGTTAATTTGATCGAATGTGGTTTTGTTGAAGAGAATGGAAAATTATATTGTGAACGTGATTTTGAACAATATCTTGCACCACGTTGTGTTAAATGTTCACAATCAATATTAAAAGTAAGATTTGAATAAATAAAATTTCATACTTTGAATAATTTAAATTTCAAAAAAACAATAATAAAGGAATGTGTTCATGCACTTGAAAAAACTTGGCATCCTGAATGTTTTACATGTACAGCATGCAAAAAATCAATTGGTACTGGATCATTTCATGTTGAAGAAGGTCAACCGTATTGTCTTGAAGGTAATATTAATCTTCGTCGACAGTTGTTTGATTAATATGTTTATGACTACAAAGCTATTATCTATCAGATGAGATGATATAATTCTTATTTATGCATAGATTATCGTCGAATGTTTCAAGCTAAATGTACTAGTTGCGATTTTCCTATCGAACCTGGTGACAAATATCTTGAAGCTATGGGTGGCACATATCATGTTGAATGTTTCAATTGTTCGGTATGTCTACATCATTTTTTGTTATTCGCTATTAGTTACTTCATATTTTATGAAGAAAACAGAAAATTAAGTCTTATTTCTAAATTATCATTTGGAACTAAATTAGATTTATGCAGAACCCTAGGAGCATTTAAGATTCGAGACCAAGGTTCTCGATTAAGAGGATGGTTTTCCTGTCAAATGTTCGACTTTGCCAAGTTTTTACAGTTTAACTTTAAACAGAAACTGGGTTTTCAAACATCATTTGCCTTTACCTGATAGAAAGCGAAATCAACATAAGCAGACACTGCTGTCATGAAGTGCATAGAATTGACGTAAGAACAGTCTGGTGATAAGTCGTCTGCTGTGAGTGAAGCCGGGTCGCAATGTCTGTCATTCTCCTCCTGTCGTCAGCACTTCTCGCACTTTCTACCCAATTTTTAGCCCCTCCCACTCCTAAAAATGATCGACAACTATGTTCTGAATTCAAAAAAAGTTTGTTCCGCTAGACTCTAGTTTTATTATGTCAATAGGAGAAAAAAATTGTGACTAATTTGAAATTGATTTTTTTTTGTTTTATCATAATTAAATATTTTCCTTGTCTATTATAGATGTGTCAAGTGAGTTTAAATGGTCAACCATTTCTTGTCAAAAACAATCGGCCTTATTGTCGTTTACATGGTCGTTAATAATCTTTGATTGACTTTATTCAAAACTTAGAGGAAAATATAACCCTTGCATCAGACAGATATATTTTAATTTTATTTTAGCAAATAACCCGAAGGAAAACAAGTTTATAATTATATATATAAAAAAATTACACTAAGAATTTTAATCTTGAATAAATAAAACTTCTTTGTTTTTATTTGCTGATTTTTGTATGCAAATATTTTCACGCTAGTTGATAAAAGAAAAAATCAAAATGTAAGATTTTGAAAAAGAGAAAGAATATTTATTATGCGAATTTGGTTTTTTTGAAATACAAAATATATTTGTATTTACAAATCATGGATATATTCTCGTTTTTGAGTTGGCTTTTCATAGAAGCAATATTGTTTTTTATTTTAAAAATGCAATACGATGTAAATTGGTTTTCTTCTAGAAAATAAAATTCTTCTCGTTAAATTTTTATCATTAAGATCAATATGAAACTCTTGCCAAACTAAAATATGAACAACTACTTATACTTCTGATATTTTGAAAAAAACGAGCAAAAAAATATTTTCTACAGAAAATGAGAACAAGATATCTTAAGGTTATGCAGACATCTTTTTTGTCATTTATGCAGAAAACATTTCTCATCCGTTTATTTATTTTTTGTTTGTATTCATTTATTGTACAGTTACTCCAACATTGTTTTTCTGTATAATACAGATGGTTCTATATAGAGTAATGCTTCTCCTATTAATTATGAAAACGGTCGTTATTCTTTTACAAATCTTCTGTCAATATTCGTTAACAACAAAGAGTTCGCAAAGTAGATAAAAAAAAAACCTACGCATCAACTCATATATACAATATGAAAATGTTTTTTTTCTCATATAGTTTGAGTTATGGAGTAGAATATTAACTAATATATAATTTCGATTTATAAAATTAATAAGGTAGTGAAGTTGATTAAAGAAAAAATGTAAGATTAAATATTATATTTGTAATCTTTTTAAATTAAAGTGCAACAAACAACATCGAATATTGAACAGATATTTTCTTTAAAATGTCTTATGGACTGTAGTTTTTTTATCTCAAGGTCTTAGGTGATATCTTAGATTTAAGAGTTTTGATTCGAAGTTTAGTTAATGATAAAGGACAAATAGACAAAACAAAAAACAAAAACTTGATAGTAGCTGAAAAAATCTGCATATTTTCTAACGTTAGTAACTTATAACATATGATAAACTATTCAAACAGATAATATCAAATAGTATCAATGGAAAATCGAATACCAGATAATTACTAAAGTAAATACTATTGGATATACGATCCAGTCTCATATGCGAAGTGCATATATTCGAGAAAAATAAATATTATCCACTTATCATCTAAATATTATTAAACAGATTATTACATGGTTGGAGGAGCAAAAGATAACCACATGAACGATGAGATAAAACAAAGTAGAATTCAAGGAAGATAATGAACAAAGAAACACTTCTTTTTTGTTGATACCCATTTATCACAAAAAAAAATCAGAACATATCTTTCAATGGTAGCTCAAGCAAACACAGCGTCTTGTATATAATATGATTCTCAATAAAAATAATTTTTGTAAAACATAAAAGATAACTGTTCTATACTATTTATCCTGTAATTGATATTGCAGAGCGCTCAGAAGTAAATTGTTATTGTAGCAATCAAGTCAATTACAAGTATAATACAATGATATGATTATTAAGAACAAAAGTAAATGATAATGAACACATAATAGATGGAATAAAAATGACAACAAACAAAGAAACTTTTTCAGTAGTCGATATAACTTCAGAATGATCAAGTTATAAACTGCTAATAACTAAAATCCCGTTTACCGTAAAACATTTTTTCATAAGAAAGAAAATGTTTCAATAAAAATAAATTTAAAACTAGATGGCATCTCGACAAACTCCAGAATGCAAATTAACATGCGAACACTCCACTTTCCATGCTTCAATTTTGAATAACGATCTGTATATTAAATAAAATTCTTTAACATGTAACCGAAAACAATTCCTTCCCAAGCTACCACTCGATAGGTAGATGGAGCTGAAAATTGTTTACTCATCATCGAGCACTCGAAATTTTTATGAAATTTCAAAAAAATTGTTTTCTGCATCCTTTTTTCAAGTCCTCAATACCTATCAGGTATTTTTGCAGCAGAGAAGATACGAACATATGTGCTATACATCAGATGAACTAAATATGGAGCTTTAATCTTGAATAAAACTACATGCCTTCCTGAAATATATTGGACTTCAACTTTTTTCGATTTTTCGTATATTTATTTTTGGTTAATGCTTTTCGAAACAAATTGTGGTATATATATATATTTCCTATTGTCGATGGTTGATAAAAGCAGTTCTATCTGTCATAGACTGCGTTGTATTAAATAGGCGATTTATGCTGAAGCATAAATTACATGATAATTAATTTGAGTATTAAAAAAAAAAAAAAGAATGAAATTCTAGCAACGACAAATGTTAGTAGCCATACAGGGGTGTGGGTGGGTGTGAATATAGAGAAGACCCACACGCACGTCCACACCAACGCCACCCACCCCCACACCCAAAAATGTCGAAAAAATAATATCGACATGAAAAATAGTCAGCAAATGTTTAAGAGAGTTATGAATAGAAATGAACATGTTTTATTATATGCGTTGGTGTTAATATTCCAACAGAGAGCACATACAGATAATGAAAAAAAATCGATCATGTATAATTTTTTTCGCTTAGCAAGTGTAAATGATAAACCATCTAAGTATTCCATAGCATTCATAGCACTGTCACAATATCATTCACCAAGATTATCTATACAACGTTGAATAGCTATTATTTTGGTCTTGCTCCTAAATCTGCATAAAATTGAACACGTATATGGTGAAAACAATTTTCTTCTGCTTGCAGACATCTTATGAATGACCAAATATTTCGCTGATTAACTTGTACTCTACGATTACAACGAATTTGAAAACATATTCATCTGCTACAAGTAAAGGTTTGCTTTTATTTGAATTTATAAATGAAATGGCTGGAGATTTTGCTTGAGTTACATCGGTTGAAGATGTAGCAGGTTCAGCCATGAGAATAGAATTTTAGGTATTAATAGTTCTTCGCTCAACTCTTTATTTTAGTTTTCATCAGATATTAGTCAACGCCATTACTACTGGTTAAAACTATGCGCTAGTATAATTATAAGAAAAGCAACTATGAACTATACGTAATTAGATTCACCATTTACTAGAGACATCATTTTTTCGATATTTTTCTGTTTCGATATTCTCCCACTTCAATATTTACTTTTCGACATTTTTCCTGATCTATATTTTTTCTTTCTATATCGAAACTTGATAAATTCATTAATTACCAGTATTACCAGTGGGATAAGATATTATCGAATGCTTGTTGCCACTCACCAATGGCGATCTCGAAAATACGACTTTTGTTCAAAAAAAATTATACTAAAATCTCAATCTGTTTTTATTTTTTCGATTGATAAAGAAAATAATCTTTAAAAAAGTGTCCCCACATGTGACTCCCTCCCACGTGCACTTCTTACTATTGGTTCGATGAATCATCTGATCAGTGTCTAATATTAAGTGACTCAAAGGAAAACAAAGTAGCCAAAGTACTAAACCGGTACTTTGTAGAATAAAAACGCACTTTGTTAATTTCTCGCCATTATTTAAAAGCTGCTCGCCTTTCTCTTGTGTATGCGTTTTATTTGTAGATGAAACAAGCACGTTTTTTGTTTTAATTTAATCAAATCGAATTTATGATCGATGTTTCTATTTCTCCTTTTAGATTTCAATATTTTTTTATATTGATCTTCTACAATTGTTCTTGTTGATTGCAATGTCATCATCTCGTCCAACGCATGTGTAAGTTGCGATTAGAATTTTTGAATAGATAGTGTTGTAAAATAAGTAAAAATATACTTGTTATATATAGGCTACTATTTAAATGCTAAGTAATTTTAAATAAAAACTGGGAAAAAAAATCGATTTTTGCTAAGCAATTTATTGAAAATAATTCTAAGTAAAAAACAATTTGCTAAGTTTTTTATTTAAATTCTCAGTAAATAAGTTTGATTTTCTCAGCAAAATATTGGAAATGGATAGGTAAATAAAGTTTTTGCTTAGTAAAGACATAAATTTCTAAGTAAAAAAATTAATTCTACAGTTACTGCATTGATAAAGCTTTTGTTACTTTTCCTTGTCGTCCTCTTTTTTTTATACATTCAGTGATATGTCTAGGGATGCACCGAGACTAAAAAGAAGGTTTTGCAATTTTTTTTATCAAAAAGATGCTTAATTGTGAAAACACAGAGCTCCGAAAGTACTTGAAGTACTTAGTGTTGTAGAGAAAACATTTTTCTACAAAATGAGAGGTGAGCAAGTTTGATGCGTCATATGAATCAATTTCTATTACAATTTTACAAAGACCTCAAAAATGATCGAGAGTATGGGTGT